GTACTTCGTAGTCAGCACCCACCGGTTCTTCATGATATTTACCCCGTGCGGGCGTTCGACCAACTCCCATGTGCCGTTTTTTATGAGACTGCGGATCTCCTCGTCCATGGCAGCCTTCACTGCCTCGCCCTTCCAGCTCACCAACGCCTCCTTCACCGTCATCGTTGCGATGTCCCAGCGGTGTTCGGGGTCCGCGCGCACGTCGGGGTCGAGCTGTGGCAGATCGACGTCATCCTCGACGCCATCGTACAGCAGGTCATCATCGGCGTCGTCGTACACCGTAGTGAAGGCATCTTGCGGCGGACAGCCGTAAAGGCTCAGCCATTCAGGCGGCCTCCGCGTTCGACCCGACCGTCGCAGTTCGGGCAGTCCAGGCTTTTCGATCGGAACCTCCACCACGTCGTTGTCGGTGGACTCCTCCCCTGCCAACAGCTCCCCTTTGTCGACGCCCTCGTCGTCGACGAGCTTCTTCTCCAGCATTGTCTCTTCGACCGGCTGCTCCCCTTTGGTCGGCCCTCCTGCCGACTTCTCCTTCGTCGTCAGGATCTCTCTCGACTGCCCTGTCTGGTGTTCTCCTGTCAAGGCCTCCTTATGCGCTAGCTCCCATGTCGGCTGCTCTCCCGTCGTTGACGGCTTCACACCCTCGTCAACGAGCTTGGCGTCTCGTCGGCCGCTGGCGATGCCACTGGCCGGCGCCACAGGCGACGCCTCAAGGCTCCCCTCATCGCCAGTGGCCGACACTGTTGTCGACGCAGGCCGATCTGCAACGGGGCCGGGAGGGGCAAGAACAGGGGGTGGAGGGAGGACCTCCTCGACGTCCTCATCAGCAGGCTCGTCGACCTCGGCAAGCAGAGGGAACTTCGCCGTCGAGGTGTCCGTCGGCGGGTGTGCCTGCGTCCGCCCCGACGCCGGCCCATACTTCGCCTTCCAGACTTCTAGCAACTGTGTATCGTAGAATATCACCTCGACCGATATAACAAGTCCAGCACCTCCCAGCCCTTGCTCTCCGGCGACACGCCCAGGTGAAGCCCCCAGCGAGCCTTCAGCGCCAGCTTCCCACAGCGCTGCTGCTTGAGAACCATGAACTGCACCATGCACCAGGGTAAGGTCAAATTCTTCCCAATCAGCAGCTGGTACGGGTTTGTCCCCGGCGGCGTCGTCGACCGCTCCAAGCAGTTGCGCACCCAGACGGCCTGCCGCAGGGCGAGGTGCCACCAATGGTGCTGCACGCCCATGTGCAGCAGCATCGTCCGCACGGACTCGACGACCGTGCGCATCTCCCGCTCAGCCATGCCATTCTGCTGCGGAGTGTAGGGGCACGTCAGGTCGTGGACGATGCCCTTCCCGTCGACGAAGTTGGTGAACTCCTTCCCAAGGAACTCCCCTCCCCGGTTAGAGCGGAGCATCAGCACCGACTTCTTCGTCTGCCGTTCCACTAGCACCAGCAACTTCCCGAACTACCGCAACACGTCGCTCTTCTTGGCGACCGGCATCACCTACACAAACCGAATGTGGCGGTCTTTCAGTAGGAGAAAGTACATCCTCCCATTCTTGGCAGCCACCCAAAATGGCCTGCACAACTCAATGTGCACGACAGCCAGTGCCTCCTCGGCGTCCGAGCCCTTTTTCGGGAAAGGTGTGCTGCGCCAGCTTACCACCGACGTACGAAACACACGGCAAGTCTGCTCCAGTCGTTGGCGTGATGTCGAGGCCGGTGGCGACTTCATGCTTCCCCGAGCTCTTGATCGTGTCAACGCCGATGTGCGCGAGTCTTGCGTGCCACCGATCGGGGGTCCACTTCGTCATAAAAGCCATCGTCCGCAGAGCCACCACCTTGGTCACAGTGACCACGTCGAGCAGGGGCAAAGGTCGGTGAAGAGGACGCGGCCAGTATAGCGTGCTCGACCGAGCACTTCTCCGGTCGCGGCGATGAGCATCATCTCGTCGCCGTTGCCTTGCAGCTGCACTCCGTTCTCCTTCAACTGACCAGCTGACAGCAGGTTCGCCTGTACTCTCGGATAGTAGGGGACGTCGGGGATGAGGGCCCGCTTTCCGGCCTCCCCTTGCAAAGCGACGGTTCCGCGAACCTCAACAGGCTGCAACGCCCCCATTGAATCCGCGCACGTGCTTCACACTGCCACTCGGCGCCATGTCAACGAAGACCACCTTCGTCCCCATCAGGAGGTGGGAGCAACCACTGTCAAGAAGCACCGCCATCGGGTGTGCGTGAACAGCTGCTGCCACCGCCTGGAAGTCCTCGCCAGCCTCCGGCGCCAGCGAGACTGTCGGCTCCACCACGCCGACCATCGAACACGACGCCTCTCTGTCGCCTCGGCATTTGCCGCTGGAGCTATCGACGTCCTTCATCGACGGCATCTTCTTCGACGTCTGTTGCTCCTTGCGCGGCTTCTCATCTCGACGTGGGCGACGGCTGGCCGACCGTCCGCGGCCTCCCTTGCCATCGTCCTCGTCGCTGTCATCGCGGTCGAGGCACTCGAAGGAGAGATGATCGGGGTCGCTGCACATCCAGCACTCCCGCCGTCGACCACCACCTCCACGGCCCTTGTCCCGCGTCGACTTCTTCTCGTCGACGCCCTTTCTCGACCGCCCACCTCCGCTGCCACCTCCGCCCAGCTTCTCGCGCTGGCCCTGCTGACAATTCTGATTTGTCGGTGCAGCATAACTCGCCTGCGGAAGGAGCTCTAAGGGCTGCTCTGCCTCCTGCAGCGCCTCATCTTTGATGACGTAGCTGGTGAGGGAGTTCTCATCGAGGGACTCACTTGTGCCGGGCACCATCATCATCCTCTTCACGAGGTTTTAACTGCGCAGCAGGCCCTTGACGACGTGGATGATATAGGACGCCATCGAGTATTCGACGCCCGCCATCCGCATCTCAGCCAGGATCCGTCGAGCACGGTTGCAGTAGTCCGTCGCCGACTCCTGCTCGGCCATCTGAAGGTGTGTCATCTGCTCCTCCAGTTGTCCGATGTACAGGTCGTCCATCACCTGGTTTGTTGATAGGATGAATCGCCACGTTTGGTGACCAGCATCCAGTCACTCTCGACACGACCTGAGCGCTACCTGCACCACTGGCGAGCAGTACCTCAAGATGCCCATGAAGGTGAGCAGGTGAGCAGCGCGAAACTCCCCGCGCAGCTCGACCTCATCCTCTGGCGGAATTGGCACGGTGTCGTCGGCAAGGCCCTTCAGCCCGGCAACCTCCAGCTGAGGTTCCATCGCCTCCCTCCAGGAGAAGAGGTGCCGTCGACCTTGCAGCGGTGTGGCGGTGATTTTGTCTGGCGTGAACTTGAAGGGCCCAGACGCCCATGCGATCCCGCCCGCAGTCACATGCGTCATCGCCGAGAGCCTTCCACCACTTGGTGGAGGAGAGCGACGTCATCCGTCAACGTCGACACGCGAGTTGCCTGCAGCCGCCGTCGACCGCTGCACTCGCGCCTGACTCCTGTCGACGCCACCATCGACCTTGATCACCCCTGTCTTCTTCGTGCCTTCGCTGCCGCTGACTCGTGCACCGCCGTCGACCTCCTCATCGAGGAGATGTAGGACGGGAAGGGTGCTCCATCACCCACTGTTCCCGGATGCCCAACTCGACGATCTCCAAGGGGATCATTCCATACTCGCCATCCTCGTGGCGTTTCCTCGCCTCAGCCAGTCGTGCCTCCAAGGTGTCCGCTACCTCCGCTTCAACTATGGAGCCGACCATGGCGACTAGAACGGCTGCCGGCCTACGAATGATTTAGTAGGTGCAAAAGTCGGCTCCTATCTGAAGGTAATTTGCAGGGCCATCTACGCTCACCTCACCATGCATAGAGTCTCTCTACAAGGTAGTGAGCTAGACTACACGGGGGGGTTGCACTTGCACATTCACAGGAGAAATCAGCAAGAGCATCACTAGGCAAAGATTGCATTACAGAATGGTTGAACATACAATGACAAGAATGACTACATCAGGCACCTAGCAACTCTGCAGCTAGCCTGGTCGACCGCCATCATAGCATGGTCGACCGCCTGCCAGCGTTGCGTAGAGGAGCCGCGCCAGCACTGCAGAAGCGCAGCCTGCCAACATAGCAGGTCGATGGCGTGCCAACGTTGCAGCAGTGCGGCTGTCCAGTGTTGCACCAGTAGAAGACAATAGTGCATACGTAATCAGGTGCACGCAGATGATTCGCCTGACTTGCACCGTTGTACATCTGTCGGCTGTATCTGCGCCTGACGAGCCACATCGACTTTGGGATACCAGCCCGAAGTCGCCTTCGCCATCGCGACCTCGACGACGTTCGCATACCTCCGCAGAACTCGCTGAGCAGGTTACGTGGTCGACCTGGTCGACCACCCAGTAAGCGCCCTGGTCGACAAACCCCTCGTCGACCACCGCGCCCGTCGAACTGCCCTAGTCGATAGCCCGTCTGTCGACTAGCAAGGTCAGCTACAGTCGGTCGAGCTCCCGCCCTCGACAGCTCTAGTGCACTTCGACAACCACCTCGTCGACCTGCCCCGCAAGTCCCGCGCAGGTCGATGGACAGCTCCGTCGACCTCCCCTGTTGAACTAGACCGCGGGCTCCCATCAACGACGGCATTGCAGCGGTCGCCTGTAGGTCGACAGCCCCGTCGACCAGCATGCGTCGACCAGCAGAACAGTCGGCCGCACCACCCGCGCGCCCGACCAGGAAGTCAGCGTCGCCCAAGCGAGGGCAGGGCTAACACTCTATTCTCGTTAACAGGGGAACCAACTCCGGAGCGTTGAAAAGGGTCGAGCGTTTTGAGGAGTTAATATTATATCCCCGCTCCCTCCGTTTCCCACAGGTGAAGCCAACACAACTGCAAAGGTTTAGGGGGAGGTTCCTGGCCCTTGAGAAGCTCAATTGGCCTCGAATAAATCATTCTACACCGTACATGAAGTTGGAAGTAGAGAGTGCAGCTTCAGAAATAGGGAATAGGAATGATTTTTTTTTGTTGTACTCTACGACCCTATAAATCAGGTCATATTTGGCTATTTGGAGCGGTAGCAACCACTACTCCTCGAGGTGCGCTGCAGAGGGCGACGCCTCCATGCAATGGTGGATAGTGGAGCGTCTTACTTGGTATGCGACTGCGGGATGTTAGAGAAGATGAGATGTAGTAAACAGCAAAATTTGTGGACGCCACAAAGCTATCCATCTGTAATAGTCACAATATGCTTGAACGTGCCTAAAACAAAAGATAAAGTGCACTGACGGATTTCTGCACAGGGGCTTTAAACATTAATAATGTTCTGGTCATAGCATCAAATGAGGTGCTATAGATTTGATAAAGCAATGAGGATGTAATATTAGTTTGAGCCAACGACGGTCTAGCAGCAAATCTAGTCTTAGAATACAACTTAGAAAGAAGTTACGAGTTGGGAATGACTCCTAGCCTCTACAAACCCCAAAAGCCCAGAGGGGGATTTACTGTTCACTTTAAATGGTACTTTCCATCTCATCCCTATCCTTATCTTCTCAGATTTCCTAGTGCCACGCGACACTCTACTTTTCTTGCCCTACATTTCCTTGTCCCACAAAGTACTTTCCGACACTGTATATCTTTCATGCTATATCAACCTTGCTTGTATCCACCAATATCAACCAATTCTCATTCAATTACTCAGTAACTCCTCCGCCTATTTCTCAAATACTTCTTTCACCAAAGTCTTCCGCCACGTTTCATCCTTGACTTGGTTAACCCCGCTATTCCTTAACGGATTTAGGCCAAGGGGCCTAACACTTGGTATCAGAGCCTTCGTGGGGAGCGACTCCCAATGAGCGACCGTCAACAACGAGACTACGATGTCATCGTTCCGCAGTGGCGACTTGCAGACTTGGAGTCGTTGAGAGAACATTGCCGAAACCATGCACTCTTTCCCCCACGACACGGGCAACACACATGCCGAGCTCATGCGTCAACTTGGGGAAAATCGTCAGGTACGAGCGGAAATGCAATAGCTTCGTAATTTGGCTTCTAACCCCCATGGCATGCCGCACCATTTCCTGCGCCCAACATGTCGACTAGCGCGGAAGCGCTGCCAGAACGTCGAACTGCACTCAAGCCGTAGAAACCCGAGTCATTCGACCCAAGTCCATGCAACACGAACGTGCGGATGTGGCTCTTCATGCTCAGCAACTACTTCGCCGCGAGCAGGGTGCAAGAGGCAGATGCGCATCAGCACATCAAATATGCCGTAATGCTGTTGAGGGGCCCAGCATGGGAGTGATGGCGCCAAATTACGCAGACTGCTGTACGAAGGACTCATTTGGACGGGTGTAATTAGGGCAAGGGGCATGCAGCTGCAACTTCGAGCTTAGGGAGTTTAGCTTTGGGTATTACCATGGTCTGATAACATGGGAAGGATTTGAAGCGGCAAAAAATAGTAGGTTCAACTTGGTGAATACCATCCGAAATTGCTGGGAAGTGTCTACGTCATTTCCGCTAGATAGGAAACGTTCAGGAGTACATACAACGTTTCTTGAGCATCTGCAACAAGCTAATCGAAATCACGGAAGCAGAGATGCACGATCGCTACCTCTAAGTATTGAAGTCAGACATAACGTAAATTATAGCCATTCACAAGTTGTCCACATTCGAGTCGGTACTCGCAGCAATAGAGCGCGTCGACACACTATAAAGATGATGGGTTCGTGACGATCACAATAGGGGATACAAAAATTTTATCAACGACGCTCGATCGAGGGACGGACCATCGCCCATAGAGATCGGTGCAGTTAACAGTGAGGGCTAACAGCGAACGGGTTTAGTGGAACTATCACTACTGCAAAAATCCGGGACATATGAAGCGTCGTCAAGGAAGCAAAAACCGCCAGTAGATAGTGGGTCGCAAGCTGGTGTGGAGGCTTCCATACCCTCCAAGTCTACCAACGTGGAGGAGACGGCCTTAGAGCAGTCATCTAAATTGATCGAGCTAGACACTGTTGATTGACCAATCGTGCTTCTAGGGAAGCTTCGCGATGTTCCAGTCAAGATTCCTGTAGATAGCGGAGCTAGTCACTCATTTTTCTCTTCATCGCTAGTTAGTCGTCTCCATCTTGAAGCAGATTCGACAACCAAGTTTAAGGATGCTCGCATGGTAGATGGGCCGCCACTTCACATAGGACCAGACATTCGAAAGTTGCACATAGTGCTATGTGGACCAATCACCGTTAGATGCGATTTCAACTTTGCGATACTGGATGGTTACGACTTCATCTTCGGTAGGGATTGGCTACGGACGGTTAGTACTCAGTTCAATTGGGCTCAGGAGAGTTGCAGTGTCAAGGTAAACGGGGAGTTCTGGGAGCTGCCACAGTGGAGCAATGGGGCCACATCATTTACAGCTATCATCAATGATGTTCGTGTGCGACAGTTGGTGAAGCAAACGGCACGGATCTTCGCAGTTTTCCTTAAGGAGGGAGCGCAACAGTTGGCGAGAAAACGACTCTTCCTGCTAAAACTGTTAGTAGGGTTCGTAGACGTCTTCCCAGACGAGTTGCCCCCATCTCCCAGCCGAGCAGTCGACCATCGAATAGAGTTGGAGCCGGGGAGCAAGCCAGTAGCGAAGCCGCAGTGGAGGTTGAGTCCAGTGGAGACAGAGGAGATGACATAACAGGTTAAGCACTTTCAGCACAAGGGGTTCTTAAAACCATCTAGATTGGCTTGGGCAGCACCAATCCTTTTCGCACCCAAGAAAGAGGGAGGGTTTTGCCTACCGCGCACTGAACGCCGCCACCGTCAAGAACAGGTTCCCGGTGCCGAGAATAGAGGATCTTCTAGATGCAGTACAGGGTGCTAGAATCTTCTATAAGATCAATCTTCGCTCAGGGTATCATCAGATTTGCATAGTTCCAGAGGATCAGCACAAGACGGCATGTCGTACGAAGCAGGGGTTGTCCGAGTTTAGGGTGCTACCGTTTGGTTTGACCAACGCCCCATCGTTGTTCCAGACGCTCATGAACACTGTCCTCTCCAAGTTTCTAGGTTCGTCCGTCGTAGCTTATCTAGACAACATCCTATTCTTCTCCAAGACAAAAGAGGAGAATGTGCAGCACTTACAAAAGGTCTTCAAGGTCTTGCAGAGGGAGCAGTTATACGCTAAGCAGTTGAAGTGCGAGTTCTTCCTCCCCGAGGTCGACTTTCTTGGTCATGTCGTATCCGCTAGTGACATTAGCACGAGCAAGTCTGGCTGCACCGTCCTACAGGTTTCTTTGTGTCGTTTCCTCCTGGCGCCCGGTGGAGCCTTAGGCGGCTAGTCTACAATCTGCGATAGGCTCCTCTCAAGTGGCACGACACACTATGCACCACTCTTGGTTCTCTAGGCTTCGCTCCGTCCTCTGCTAACCCTTCTCTCTTTCTCCGTTGTGGTCGTACTCCCTTTTACATTTTGGTGTACGTCAACTACCTCGTCTTTACCACAGCTGTCAGAGTTGCACTGGCCTCAGTGAAGGCTGAGCTGTAGAGGAGACACACATGCATTGACCTGGGTGAGCTGCATCACTACCTTGGCTTGCAGATTAGTGGGAATTGAGCAGCGCACACCATTACAATGTTTCAGTCCAACTTGGTGCAGCAGATCCTCGACCGGTTCGGCTTTTGCTACTCTTCCCCACAGGCCACTCCACTTGCAGTCGACCACGGGCTGACGCCTCCTCTTCCTGCCAAGCTTGCTGAGCCTAGTGGTGACTACACACAGTTGGTGGGCTGCCTCATATACCTGATGACCTGCACCTGTTCAGATCTAGCCTACTCTCTCAGCATTCTAACTTGGTTTATTGCACCTGAAAGACTCTGTTCTCTCCACTGGGAGGCAGTTCAGAGGGTTGTGCGCTATCTGGCAAGCACATCAGGCATGGGGCTTGTGCTTGGAGGGAGACGGCCAGTCAGCCTCACTGGGCACATCCAAGCGTCCTGGGCAGACGATGTTGAGCGTCGGAAGTCTTCACACGGCTACTGCTTCAGTCTTGGCCCTGGAGCTATATTGTGGAGGTCGAATCGTTTGTCGTCAGTTGCTCAATTTAGCTGTGAGGCTGAGCTCGACGCCGGGACCATGGCTGCACAGGAGTTGTGCTGGCTCACCTTTTTGCTCGCCGACCTGGGTGAGCCACCTTATACTAACCAGTGCTCTTCGCTGACAATTGGTCCATAATCCTGTTGTTTGAAAAGCTACGACTGGTGGAGCATACGAAGCACGTTGAGCTGGGACACTTCTTGCATGAGTTGCAGTAGCGCGGCCAGGCACACGTGGTCACAGTGGTCTCAGAGGCCAACACCGTTAGCATCTTCACCAAGGTTCTTCCGCCTTGCGACCATCAGCGATTCTGTACTCGGCTCGGACTAGTTACTTGTGGTTCTCACTTGCTTGATTCCTGATCACTATTGTTTGCTCTTTTCATATATCTTTATATGTACGAACACTTGGACTGGCCTTGTGGCCTTACTTGTCTTAGAGGTTGGAGTAGTAGTGCCTCCCTGGGCTTGTTTGATGTTGTTGCTCAGATATTACCCCTTGTCTAGCCTAGGGGGTGTATTAAACTATATATATGTATGTATGTTTATATTATAGTTATAGGCTAAACTAGGTTATTTCTTAGGGAGGCTATAACTTGTATGTTTTGTACTCTCGATTCCTCCATAGTACACAATCTCGATATTGACATCATGTACCTGATGACCTGTACTCGCCCAGACCTAGCTTTCCCTCTTAGCATCGTGACGCGTTTTGTTACACCTACAAAACGCTGACCTTCTCCTTGGTTGGCTGCTAAGTGGGTGGCGAAGTATGGGGCGAGCACATCAAGCATGGGACTTGTCCTTTGGGGGAAGCACCCAGTTACAATCACTGGTTTCTTGGACTCCTCGTACGCGGACTGTAGCCAGACCTACAAGTCTACGCAGGGTTACTGCTTCAGCCTTGGGAGAATTATTTCGTGGAGGTCGACTCGGACGTCGTCCGTCGCTAGCTCTGGCTGTGAGGCGGTGTACGCTATGGCCATGGCCATACAGGTTCTTCACTGGTTGAGTTTTCTCCTCACCGACCTTGGAGAGCAGCCTTGCTCTCCCCTAGTCTTGTTTGGTGACAAACAGGTATGTTGTCCTATTGTGCGAGGAGCCCTGACTATTTGAGAAGGCAAAGCACATCCAACTTTGTTACTTCCTTTTGCACAAGATGCAGCAGCGTGGCCAAGCCCGCGTGAGACGTGTGGTCTCTGAGGCCAACACTGCAGATATCTTCACCAAGGCGTTGCCGCCTTGTGACACCACCAGTGTTTCTACACCCAGCTAGGCCTTGTGCCTGCAGGTTCCCACTTGCTTGTGTAGAGATGCTTGTTTTATTTTTCTTGTACCCTTGAATCTCTTTGTAATTCCTATATACCTGCATGTGGCCCCTTTCTTGCTCTCAGGCTGTGTATTAACTTTGTGATCCACCCTGAGATTTCTTTCTTGTTCTTGTTGATTCGCCATGTGGCCCCGTGCTTGGTCTAGGACTGTGTGGTGACGTAGTGATCAATCCTGAGATGTGTGTTGCCTTCCACAACACCTAGACTATGGGGGTGTGTGAAACCATAATTGTTATAGTTTGTAAAGTTTAGTCTAGATGGTGTACAACATTGTTAGTGCTAGAGTTAGGTTTACTATATCTACCATTGTAGTTGCTCATTCTAGTCTTACATTCCTCCATTCCTATCTTAAAATGAGTTGCACTCCTTGGACTTCTCCACAGCGTTTCTTCAGGGGAGCTTGCAAGAGCAGATCTGGCTGCATCGCCCACTTGGCTTCACTGGCTCTTTCCATGCTGGGACCCAGTGGCAGCTGCGTCGACCAGTTTACCGTCAGGCTCTACGCGAGTGGCACGACACACTTTGCACGGCTCTTGCAGCACTTGTCGTCTGCCGACCCGACGCTTTTCGTCTGCCGTACCTCGACCCCGTTCTACATTCCAGTTCACATTGACGACCTGGTCTTTGCCACTCCCGACTACAGCGCACTGGCCTTTGTGAAGGAGGAACTGCAGAGGAGACACACGTGCACTGACCTTGGTGAGCTGCACCGCTACCTTGGCCTGCAGATCAACAAGGACAGAGCAGCTCGCACCATTACGCAGACGCAGTCGCATATGGTCGAGTAGATCCTTATGTAGTTTCACTTCCCGTTCTCCAAGGTACAGCTCACCCCTCTTGTTGTGGACCATACGCCCATGGCTCCACCTTCGGATGATTCATTTGAACCTAGTGGTGCATATCCTGAGTTGGTGGGTTATCTCATGTACTGGATGACATGTACTCGCCCAGAACTAGCTTCCCCTCTTAGCGTCTTGGCGCATTTTGTTCCACCTGGGAGACACCGACCTTCTAGTTGCTAAGAGGGTGGCGAAGTATATGGCGAGCACATCAGGCATGGGACTTGTCCTTGGAGTGAAGCAGCCTGTTCATTGGAGTCGTTGTACCCGGACTGTGGCCAGACATGCAGTTCTACACAGGGTTACTGCTTCAGCCTTGGGACATGAGCTGTTTTGTGGAGGTCGACCCAGGTATCGTCCGTCGCTAGCTCCAGCTGTGAGGCAGAGGTGCACGGTGCGGCCATGGCCACACAGGAGCTGGCTGTCTTTCCTCCTCACCGACCTTGGTGAGCGGCCTCGCTCTCCCCCAGTCTTGTTCGCTGACAATAGGTCTGTTGTCATGTTGTGCGAAACACATCCAGCTTCGTTAATACTTTCTGCGAGAGTTGCAGCAGCATGGTGGACCCACGTGGTTTGTGTGGTCTCTGAGACAAACATTGCAGACCTCTTGACCAAGGCGTTGCCGCCCTATGACCACTAGCGATCCTGCAACCAGCTTGACTTTGTGCTTGCAGGTTCACACTTGCTTGTGTAGAGATGCTTGTCTTGATTGTCTTGTACTCTTCCATCTCTTTATATTGCTATATTTCTGCATGTGGACTGGTCTTCTGGCCCCTTGCTTGCACTCGAATTGCGTAGTGACCTTGGTCTAATTGCTCGTTCTTTTTTACTGGTCGTGTGACGGTGAAGGCGTTCGACCGTTGAGTAAAATTCCTCTGTTAAAGACCAGCCTTTCCACAGCGGCTTCTGCGGTAGTGAGAGGAGCGCTTACAGTCGCCAGCGGTGACGACTTGAAACACTCTTACGTCTGCTTCCAGTAGGCACTCCCCCCGGTCCAGTGCTTCAGCAGCTTCTCATGTGCTAGGAACGAGTCCAACCCCAGCGGCAGCCCCACGGCCAGTATCATATCCCTCTTAAAAAAATTCTGCTCCGTGAGTAAAAGGCCGATTCTCTTGGCCGCCAGATAGGTAATCTGAATCTCAGGGTCTCTCACGCCGATGCCCCGCTCGTCTCGCGGTGTTAATATCAGCTCCTTCCCGCACAGGATAAAGCAGCCTTCTGCCGATGCCTTGCTACTGGAGAGAAATTTATGTATCAGCTTCGTGATCTGGTTCCAGGTCTCTTCTGGAGGTGGGTAGACCTGGGCCTGGAACACGATGATGGGTGTGATGTAGCCATTAATCACAGTCTCCCTTGTCGTGATCGCTAGATATTCCAGTTGCCACTTGCTTAACTCCCCAAGCATCCTCTCCAGCGCCTTGTCCCATGTTGCTTTGCAGTTGCCATCACCCAAACTCCGAGCAACCTCTTCGCGTCATCTGCTTTGGCGCATTTAAACCCGTCCGGTCTCCAGGGGGAAGTACCCTGGTTCCGACCAAGTGGCATCACAACCAATTTGTCTTTGTTCGTTGCCAACCCCGAGATGCCTTCAAAATATTCAAGCAGCGTCCCTGAATCATGGATCTACACCCTCCCCAACAGCATAAGTGTGGTGTCATCTGCGTATCCCAAATACGGCAGGCTCCGACCTGATTCACTAATGATACCAAGCTGCCGCTTCTCCGCTTCTTGCGCCAACGGTTCCACCGCGCAAATGAAGAGGTAAGGAGCCAGGGGACATCATTGCCTGACCCCCGACACGACCTCCAGTGCTTCACTTTTCCAGCCATTGACTAAAAGTCGTGTGCACATGTCTTTGTGCAGGCCTCTCAACCAATCCACGAACAACGGAGTAAAGCCCAACTTCTGCAGGGTTTCGAACAAGAAGCATTGCAAGACTGTGTCAAAGGCCTTTTGAAAGTCGACAAGGAGCAGAAACCAGTCCTTGTCACCCTTGTTTGCTGCGTCGATAATATCTGCAACCAGGCTGACCGTGTCCGACAGTCTCCGCCCCGGAATAAAGCCGTATTGCTCACGTGAGATGACCCGGTGAAGCACCTTCTTCATCCGGTCAGCAACCACCTTCGCCAGTACCTTGTAGGTAAATTTCAGCAGTGTTATTGGGCGATAGTTTGTCAGCCAGTCCTTGTCGCCCTTCTTGTGTAACAATATCGTAACTGCCTCCTTTGTGCTTGCAGGGATCGTCGCCAATGCTGCAAAGGAACGAGCCAGCCTCATGAAGCCATCAACTAGGAGATCCCAGTAAAGCTCGAAAAGCTCTTTCGGGATTCCATCCAAGCCCTGCGACTTCCCACACGCTAGGGCTTTGAAGGCTTCCCTGACCTCCTACTCCGTCCAATCACGAACTAGTTCCTCGGCTTCCGCTGCCGGCAGCCGACGGTTGGGTGACCAGTTTGACTGATGTGTATGCCTGTCCGCCCCGAACAACCCTTTGAAAAAATTTGCAGCTTCCTTGAGAATGCCATGCTTGTCGCAAACTGCTACACCATTCACCTGCAGCTCCGCGATCTGCGTGCGTTGCTTTCTGGTTTTTATCCTTGCAGAGAGATGCTTCGACACCACGTCCCTTTTCAACTCCACCCCGTAGCCCGCCATCGGGTGCAGTCTATCACGACGGGAGGCCTGGTACTCCTTCAGCTGGGTCTCACGTGCTTTCAGAAGTTACCGCAACCTCGGGCAAGCCGGTGCACCTAGGACCGCTTGCTTCAGCTTCCCCACCACGTCCGACAGGTGACGCAGCGTCGCTTTTACCCTTTTACTCTCCTCTTTAGCGTACGCTCTGAGACCAGCATTCAGCTTTGCCAACAGTAGGATGAAGTCGCCACCTGCCTGCTTCATTGCTGCTTCCTCTACTTTCCTCACCCCCGGTCTGTTGATCAGGTGAATAGGAAGCCTCCAAACCCTTGGACCGAGCTTTGCGTTGGCGGCACAGTGGAAAGCAACGTGGATGGCGAAGCCATGGTCTGAGATTGGATCATCTGGAGAAATATGGGACGCGGAGGTTAGTTCACGCAGAAGCGACTGCGAGATCATGGCGCGGCCAATGCGTGTGCTAGCCTGCTTCGCCCGCGACAAGAAGGTGAACTCTCGCTTGCTCGGGTGAAGGGCGCAGAACGCGTCTGAGATTTGGAAAACACCACATCTCCTGACCAGTTTCTCATTTCCAGCCGCTGATCCCGCGCGTAACGTCTTATCTAGGAAGGGGTCTTAGATCATGTTTTGGTCCCCTATGAGGAGGAGATGGCAACCATGGTCAGCCTGATCTATCACCGGACCGACTACCTCTCTAATGAAGACTGTACGTGCTGCTGGAGAAGCGCGGAAGTATGTTGCTAAGAGGGTGACTCTAAGACCTTTACCTACTACCTCTGTCTTGAGGAGTCTACAAGATGGGTAAGCCAAGGTGTTTTCAAACTGTATACCAGGATCCCACGAGATAACTGCTACACCGCCGGCTCTCTCGCTTGTCAAAGAGGTAAGAACCATTGCGGGTTTAAGACTGTTCCAAGAAGTGTGGTTACCTAAAAGTCTCGTATCTGTTAAGTTGTGGATATCAGCTACTCCTCTTGTCCATGAAATGACCCATGATTGCTTCGTTACATCACTGAGCCCGTTCACGTTTAGGCCGGCGAAAGACAGTACATTCTTGTTACTCATTTAACCACTTCTTGAGACCCCCTACGCATCCACGGGGTTAAAGCTGAGACAAAGCTGGCTACAGAATGTGCTACTGCTGCTGCCGCTCACCAGGCTGCTAAAGACCGTAGTCCTTTTTTAGCGAGGCAAGGGTGGCCTTCTCGAGGGTGGTGCGCGTGGCGGTTCCCAGCGTCTCCAGCTACAAGAGGTGGTTCACAGAGGTGACATGGTCCGATGCCGTCATGAATGATTTCCCCTTTGCCTTTCCGCAGCCAGACTGTGTGCAGATCCATTCCTCCCTGTTGCAACCCGTAGAAACTAATGCAATTGCAGGATCGCGGAGGAGAGATGTGATAAGCGGCGAAGTGCGCGTGGATGCAGCTGCGACAATGAGGCCGAATGCTAGCATGATCAGAAAAATGAAGAAAGGAAGGTAAGCGTGGCTGATAAGAAGCGATAGCCTTGTTGCCATTGATCCTATGCACCCTCCCCAAAGTGAGGTTCCACTTTCCTATGTTATTCTGCCGCTCCGTGACGAACATATCATGATTTGACTCATAATTATGTCCACCGCAGAGAGAGCAGGATAGCGAAGGGTAGTGGACCAGAATCTTCTTGCCGTTGTCCGTTAGAATGTTGACCACTTGCCTGGGTGTGGAATAACTAGGCCTTTCACTGTGTCAGTGTCAACTCCCGTGACTGGGTGCAGGACCCGGTGGAAGTGTTTTCCCTCCAGGTACGGTGGCTTCTTGCAGATCTTCAGCTTGTAACGAGCCAACAGGTCCCTCAGGACAAATGTTAGCTGGAACATTTCTAAAAATAGCTTCAACAGCAAGCGGATTCAAAGATTTTTCCTTAATGAAGTTTGCATCCTCAGTGTGCTGCCAGTATAAGGTGATCGGTTTGCCGTTGCCATTCGCCCTCCGATAATCCACCTCCTTCTGACAAATGATATTCACATCTTCTTCATGCAGGAGAGAGATCTGAAATTTGCAAAACTTTGTCTTCGCGACATAAGCGGGGAGAAGCGTCTGGATCGACGATGAAGCCGCGCCATCCGGCGACAGATCCTTTGACCACACTTTCTTCATGAGCGTGCGGATAGTTGTGATTACATTTCCCATCTTCCGATGCAAGATAAATGAGTCCAACAGTATTGCCGTGAAGCGGAGACGCGACAACACTTCCTGCTTCACATCAAACTCCATTTCATTATCAGAATCATCATCAATGAGATCATCGGTAAGAACATTGGCCTTCTCAGCGGTCGATAAACCTGAACCACCCGCTTTCGCTTCAGGACGCTTGCCGCTATCCACTCCTTCATGGTTCTTCATTGTCGGGTTGTCTAACACAGGGGTGTCAGGAAAATCCGGATTCCCCTGATTGGTTCCCAGCACCTTGACCGGCCGCTTGGTGGTTTTGGAGCTCTTCGGAGGCATGTTGCGATGATGATATAGAATCAGCGTAGCGTTGACTTCTGAGAATGTGGAGTGATGAGCTGCAGAGCTGAGCAACGAATGCTTATGAAGGGACCAGATCAGAAAGCTCCAATGTGGAGGTAATCAAACTCCAGTTTCAGGGATATCCTTGAGGACCTTGGAAACATTTGACTAGATAATGCATGTATTTTTATCTAGTAGTGTAAAGCACTCCTTAGTATCATGGAACCTGAAAGTTAAAAAAACCGCGATGATATCAGGGACTGCCAAATTAGCATCGGGTTGTGCCATTTTATCAGGTCATGCAATGTCCAATAGATGAACACAAGAGTCGCATCTCCTGAAAGCTTGAGTCATGGCGATGCCATTGATGACAGTTTCGATGTCAACTGATAGTGCAGCTTCACGGAATGCTGGGTTCCAATAGGAGTAAGACAGCCATGGCGGAGAGCTCGAGGAAGATGTCATGAGTTCCGTCCGAGGCCTCGCAGCAGCGCCAGAGAACTGGAGGGAGTTGCTGTTGTCCTCATCTGAAATGGACCGGAGTGCGGAAGGGGGGGGGGGGGGGGGGGGGGGGGGGGGGGGGGGGGGAGAGCAGCGGTGACTCCTGGAGCGAAACTCCTCCGCACACATATCTTTCATCTTGGCCAGATCGCCTCGCTGAAGCGACTGCGGCTAGCCTGGAAGATGAGGGGCAGCTCAGCACGGAAGAGAGGGAAGTGGGCCAAACGATGGGGAGGGACAATTGACTAGAAGCAGGCGATGAAGATTCGGGATTCTTTGGTCACGCCTAGTCGCCCTAGAGACATTCGGATCAGGCTGCACACTCTCAATCTCCAAGTGGGAGAACGACTAGCTTTCCTCAGCTCCAAGCCAAAATGCCCGCACCGCAGCGCGGAGGAATCGCTGGAGCATTGCCTTTTTGAGTGCTCGAGAATTCAGCCGGTGGTCGGGGCCCAAAAAGCAGCCCTCAGAATGATCAACCCAGGCTGCACCTTTTCCTCGCTGGGTGATCTTCCTTTCAACGGGCGGCGTCCAGCTCAGCATTCCCGGAAGCGACATTAACTGCCATCACTATTCACCAGTTGTGGGTCGAGAGGTGTGAGTCGGCATTCCGAGGGCGGAGGTTCCAAACGAGACGGGTTTTGTAGAAAATTGAAGCAGCATTTCGGCTTCATGCGCGAATCTGCATGAGACACGTGGGGGAGAAATTTCAGATGGACAGCACGTCTGGGCAGAGGCTGACACGTGGAGGGGGGTCTACCCAAGAGATAAGGCTCCTGGACCGTATTCGGGATAACAGCATCGGAAGTGGACGTGGAAGGCGGGTTTTGCGGCCATCTGGGCACGTCCGAGAGGGTGCGCCAATAGGCCAGGAAATTCTCACTAAGGATGGTTACTACCAGTCCTCCAAGCACAGTTACGACTGTTCTTGATTTGTACACTTGCCCTTCGGTGTATTGATCAATTAACTTACTAAAAAAAAAAAAAAAAAATTGCGTACTTCTTGCAAAGACGACATCAGCCATTGGGATCTACAGTTACCAACGCTTAAGTTCGCTTACAACAACGCATCACATGTGGCCACAGGGAAATCACTTTTCTTCCTGTGCTATGGACAAGAACAACTTAACCCACAACAACCAACCACACCGGCACACGTCCAAGCCGCACACAACTTTGACACCACCATGCAGCAGCTATGGGAGAAGACTCAGCGACGTCTCACCACGATGCAGAACTCCCAGAAGCAGTATGCCGATCGACAGCGACGTGATCACTCAGTAGCAGTCGGAGATCAGGTGCTTCTCGACACACGCAACTTGGACTTATCCCATCTTCCGTCCAAACTCCGGCCTCGATCCTGTGGTCCCTTTCGCGTTGAGGCGATGGTGTTACCAGTAACATTCCGCTTGCGCTTACCTACTACGTGGAAGCTTCACAACGCTTTCCATGTTCAGCTACTAAAGCCCCACAAGGATCCCAACTACCAGTTCCAGGGACGACAGCTACCGCCACCACCACCTGTTCTCGAACAGGATAAACCAGAGTACAAGGTGGAACGCGTGCTCAATGATTGACGCAGACGCGGCAATACGCTCGAGTTCCTGATACGCTGGAAGGTATACTACCCTCAAGGATTATATTGTCAAGCAAGGTGTATCTCACGCCACCCAGCTTTGAGGGGGGGACGTGTGAGAGTACGACGGCTTTGCTAGGCTTTAATTGCTAGATTCTGCTTTATCATGAATTATCCAGCTTAGCTTTATTTTATTTTGCTTGCTTTTGCTTGATTTCCTAGATTCTTTGCTTGATCTATATATACTATCGTTGCACGCACCGAATAGTTAATGTGCACTGAATTCTGTGCTTTTTGGTTGCCACAAAACTGCCTTCTACCGAATTTGGGAAGGACCCGTTCAGGTTGCTTCGCGACCCATGAAACCTTCTAGTAACACCCGGGTTACTGCCTTCGTTGCGAGCCTATATATAGCCTCGTGCTGTACCTTGGTAATCAATCAATCATTTTTGTACTAGTTCCTTTGATCCTCACACATCCGCACCAGCTGATTACCGGCAAGAAGGCCAACCTAATGTTGGCGAGCGTGTGGGGCTGCACGGTGCAGTTCATGGTCCACGAGAAGATGGCGC